CGGCCGAGCTCAGCCCATGCCAGCACGGCTCCACCTGCATCACCACCAGCCAGGGGCCCAGGTGAGCCCCCCCGCCCTCCCCAAATCACTTTCTTCTGGCTGTCTGGTGGGGGAGATTTGCTTTTGGGGGGCTGCATCTCGTGGGTTTGAGGGCTGACAAGGGCACGGGGAGGGAGATGCCAGGAGGAGCAGGCGCCCACCGGCACAGCAGGGAAGGAAGGGGCGGCCATGAGCCCCCCGCCTGCCCCAGGTGCGAATGCGCGCCCGGCTACGTGGGGAGCAACTGCAGCGAGGACTTCAACGACTGCCAGGACCACCGATGCCAGAACAACGCCCGCTGCCTGGACGAGGTGAACGGCTACTCTTGCCTCTGCACTGAGGGCTACAGGTACGGCTGGGAAGACAGGGACACCGGGGATAGTGGGGACAGTTAAGTGTCACTGTGCAGGAGGGACCAGTCCTTGCTACCACATCCATCCATCCATCCATCCATCCATCCATCCATCCATCCATCCATCCATCCCCCACAGTGTAAGAAGAATGAGTTGGGCTGGGGGTGTGCGTCTCCAGGGATAGAGTCTAGGGGGAGCCAGTATCCCTGGGGAGGGACCCCAGGGCAGGGCTCAGCAGCCAGGCATCCCTCTCATGCTGCTGGCTGGAGAGCCTCCCTGAGGACCCCAAAACAGGGGGGTACTGTCAGAGCCCCATGGGGTGGTGGGCAGTGGGTAGGGTGCTTTCCCAGCCCCATGCCCAACAGCACCCTTGGCCCTGCAGTGGACAGCTCTGTGAGATGCCACCCCGCACTGCCGGCCAGCCTGGCCTCTGTGAGCGAGCTGAGTGCCAGAATGGGGCCCTGTGCGTGGAGCGGGGTGCCCATGCTCTCTGCCAGTGCCTGCCTGGCTTTGGTGGCCCCAAGTGTGAGAAGCTGCTGAGCGTCAACTTTGTGGACCGTGACACGTACCTGCAGTTCACAGACCTGCAGGACTGGCCCCGGGCTAATATCACCCTGCAGGTGAGGGCTGGTGGG